TTTAAGTGTCTGTTCCTTTATGTTTCGATGGGGCTGGTAGAGGTTGTTGAGATTTTTTGGTGGAAGAGACGGGCATATTTGAGGATAAGTATGAGGACCCTTTAAGGGGGAAAATGAAAGTTGACAAAATGAGAACTTTTATTAAAGAAAGTGACATTCAGGTGGACAGAAACTGAAGGAAGCACTTGCAGCATGGCTCCTTATATAAATCTCCCAGGAAATGTGAAAATTTCTTGCTATTCTGATATGATGTCCAAGATTTGTATTTAAATTGTGTGTGACTGCCTGGTAAAATCAAGCCCCTTGAAAGCTCAGGGCAACCAGAATTTGGCACGAGAAATCAATTATTTCTGTACTACTGGAATTTAATAGTATGTTTAAAATAAAATTGAATTTATATATACTGAGTAAAGCAGACACCCCCATGTTGCTTTCTCCCCTATATCACATATGTGCCCTCAATGAGAATTAAATCTTGGGAGAGAGTAATTTTAGGAATGAGATTGGAGAGATTAATTTCAAATAAAATACAAGTTAATTTTATTTTAAGTTGGTGGTTTTCCTTTGCTTAAAGTGATCAGTCTCACCAGACAAGAAGTAATTTCTATTTTAATGATAAATTGAGGTTATTTAGCTATATGTATACATGATATAAGGGATTCCAATGTGTTTTCAACCTCAACCTTGAAAGGAAAATATTTTAATAGATCTCACTTCCTATTTTGAAAACAATGTTGAGTGGATTTAGCACTGTGTGTGTGTGTGAGTGTGTGTGAGTGTGTGTGTGTGTGTGTGTGTGTGTGTGTGTGTGTGTGAGTGTGAGAGAGAGAGCCTCCATAGCTGGGACACTCTGTAAGGACAAGGCCCTGATTTCTAATCAGGAATGAAGGGTGACCATAGTCTCCATCACCAGTGATGGAGACTCTACTTGAAACACATTTTTGCTTTAGCCTCTCATGAAGAACTCTTTAAAATAACTCAACAGAGTCTATATAACTTAGATTTGTTTGTTTCAAGTGGGAATTCCAGTATAGTGGGGTGACGCTTCTGCTGGAGGTTATAGTTTTCTGCATCTGGCCTGTTCTCCAGGTGAGAGTCCTTGTCCCTTGTTTGAATGAAAGGCAGCAGCTGACTTCACTCTGCCAGCTCCTCGGGCCTCTGGGGCATCTGTCTCCTCTTGCTCAAGGTTGTGGCTTACGATGCCTTCCACATTTCACTGTGCTCAGGCGTAGTCACGTGGGCGAATGTCGTCCCTGCCGGGATGACAGGCTCGACTGGGCAGAGACAGGTGACGGCAAAGCGTAATGTTCTACAGAGCCTGGGGACAGCAGGACCCTCTGGGCTAACGTTCCCTGTGTTAGTGAAGGAGCATGAAGTGATTTCTACTCCATGGGTCTCTCAGAAAGAAAGGGGCTGACTGTGTGAGGGTCCACAGACCCAGGCCCAGCAGACGGGAGAAGGCAGGAATCTGGGGGCGTCTGTTGCAGGCTGGGAGGGGCACAGGGGCACTGATGTTGGCACCGTTAACCACCCAATGCATTGAGCATCACTTCTGCTGTCCCAGTGGTTTTCCTTTTCGGAAATGTGGACATGATAAAGCAACGTGTTCTTCTTCAAGCATTTACCATGAAACATTTCTAAAGCTTGTTCTTTGTGTCTCCAAGGGATCTGAGCAAGAATATCAGCTGATGTCGAGTCGTGGCCAAGAAAGGACCCCTCAACCACTCATCGTGAGTGTCACGGATGATGTAAATGGGAGTGACTGGGTCCAACACTGGAACTCTGAAGTCTCAAAGTATTGATTGTTCAGTCTTAAGCTTAAATACCTGTAAAAAAAATATCCTTGCAATATTCATTCATACATTTAATAAATAATTACTAAGCACTTCCTTGATCCAGGGACTTGGATAACATCTCTTCATTCAGCAACTTATGTTCTGGTTGGAGAGAAAAATAATAAATTTTCCTGTCTGCTTTTTCATTTGACAAACAACTTTCTTGAAAAAAAATCTCTTATTTTCTGTTATGAAATTAAAATGGATTGGGATTTCTTTTTCTCCATACAATTATTTTTCATATTTCATGCTGAAGTCTTTGGTTCATTTCCTATTAGGTACCCTCTATTTTAGAAGAATCTTATAAAATCTACTCTTGCCTCTTAATCCAAGTACAAATATTTATTTAACAGTGCTCTATGGGCAGAACAATCTCAGCATCATAAAGATAGTGGAAGAATCACATTGAGACTCTTGAAGTCTTCTCTGCCTGACCAACCTGTGCTTTGCCATTTTAGGTTGAATTTTCTAGCATTTGTTCTTGAAGTTATTGAAAATAGATTGTATCTCTCTCAAAATAGTGATAGAACACATTAGCTAAGAAAAAATATAATTCTTGCATCAGCAAGTTTGTTCAGTGGGGCTAATAGACACAGAGAGATTAAATCAAGGGAAGGGCAGCATCATGAGTGGGATGGTTTCTGTGGGAAATTCACGGAGTAGTCTCTTTGTCTGAGTCATCTTTTCTTTTTATCCTTTCAACAATCTTATGAGGCCATTCCTGTGTAATTCAGGATGTTTTCAAGTGATCTGAACAATCTAAAATACCAAGGTTTTCTCTATGTAATGTACATCCCAGTCCTAGAATACAAGGTGTCACCAAGTATGTAGCTGAGGACAAATCCACCCCCATGTGTCATGGGTGTGCTTGTTTTTCTTTTTTTCTTTTCTTTTCACAGTATTGACATCTCTGATAAAAGTGTCATCAAGAAAGTGGGAAAAAAAAACAAACTGGAACATATACTTATTTTAGTACATGTACTAATTTGGTAAAACATTGTGTATGGTAGATAAGTTTGCTTAGAGCAGCTCCACTGGTCGTGGCCAGCTCTAAGGGACCCTAAGGCCCGTCACTCCTGGCTGGCGGCCCCTTAGTTATTCTGAGTGCATCTTTCAACGTGCTCCCATTTCTCACTGGTGCATTAACACCTAGTTATCCCTATGATTTGAGTTTGTTGTACTGCTTTCATGGAAGCTTCTGGTGCCCTAGAACACAAAATTGCTGTAATTGTGTTCTGAACGAAGCATGACCGAGTTACATTCCTGATCAATCAGAAATGGAGAGGAGGGTCTCCGCAGCGGGAGTGCGGCTGCCCTCTTGTGCCCCAGCCCGGGCGCAGCCTGCACGGCGCGGCGCGCTCGCGGCTGGGGTTTGCTCACGCGGCCCCGCCTGCGTGAATCTACACTCTGATTTCTCTCCACACAGGACACGACACCCGTTCCACATTGCCATGGATTTTCCTCAAGCCGCGACGCCCCTGCCGCCAGGCCAGGGCAGGCGGCGCTCCTTCCTTCCCGGAGCGGCCGCCCGCGGAGCCGCCTGCGCTCAAGCCCAGGCGCCGCCAGGCCGCGGGAGCGGTGAGCCTCCCCTCCCCGCCGCGCGGGCCGTCCTCCACTGCGGGCGCTCCGACGCGGCTGTTCCCCGCGCGGGGCAGCAGGGGGCGCCGGCAGGCACCCGACGCCTGCGCAGAGGCTGGCTTAGAGGAGCCTCCAAGGTCTGCAGTCAAGACCTCGCCCACTCGGGGAGGGCTTTTTCATTCCTGTAGGCAGGCGGTGCTCGCCCTCGCGTCCCCAGCACTGCGCACGCGCCAGCGCAGGGGCGCCCTCTGTCCCGCCGGGGAACTCGCGTCTTCCCGCCCCAGGGCTTCCGCAGTGCCTGGGACAGAGAAGGTGGCGATCAAACGGCCCAGGACTCAGACACCCAGAGTGAAGGGTCCGGAGGAGCAGAGTTATGGAGTGGGACTGGGATGTGTTGGGGACCGCGCTCAAGTGCCCTGAGGTTCCGGCTTAAACTGAGTTCCCAGCGCCGCCTCGCCCCCAGCCAGCTTGCCCGACAGGTGCGCGCCACCCTGGTCTGGACGGCAACTGGCTGAATGTCCACGGCTGGGGTTTCCTTTAATCTTCCTTCTTGCCATGTTTTCCCTACCGTCAGAGGAACCTCCCGTTGCTACTGCTTTCTCTAGAGAAAATGTCTTACTAATTTGGGACATATTTTGCCAGGAATAGAATTTCTACTTGAAATATTTTTATTTTTGTGACTGTTAGTCCAGAAGCACAAAGTCTCAAAAATATAGGTTTTTAATATTCATACCTTAATTCAAGCATGAGCAAACCACTTACGCAAACCTTTAACAAGGGCTGTTTAAGAAAGGCTAGGCTTCTATTTCATTCCCCCGTACTTTTCATTGCGATAACACGTTTTCTTTGTTTCAGAGGCAACGCGAACTCTCGCACCAAATAATGTACATTACAAAAGGTGCAGCTAAGCCTGAGAATACTTTTTCAGAAAGTACAGGGCTCAGTGTCTACTTTGCTCTCTGGCTTTGTTCATACAGTAGCTGGATACACAGCTTTGTGTCAAGGGAGAGAGCCCCCTTTTGAACAGCATCCTTTTACTCAAGCTAAATGACAGACACATTTGGATAGTTTCAGAAGCAATAAAATCAGGTTAAGAAGAGGGAAGCCAGGTTGCGTATGACAACTCAGCCCACATATTAACAGGGACTATATTAAACATTGGCACATGTTGACATACAGAAATATCCCTGTGGATTTAAGAACGTGTTTGCTTTCATCTTACATCATTGTAAAATGGTAGGGGTGCGAGTGTCAGGTAGGGTGGTGCTGCCTGCGTGGCTGCAGACCTCCTGGAGGCTGCTGAACCCGAAGGGGAACGGGGGCGAGGTCTGCTCTGTGGACAGGAGCCTGGCGTCTGGGGCACCTAGGCCATCTGAGCGAGGAATAAAATTACTTTTATCAAGAATGCTAGGATCCACGCTTTGTGCTGAGTAGTATGTCCTATCACTCCGCCCAGGGAGGCATAGGGAGCATCATTAGTGTTAAAGTTGAGCAAACTGAAGCTCAGACAGTTTGAGCGGCGTGTCCAGCTAGTAGCAGCGGCAGGAGTCCGTCTGGGCCTCCCCGACCAGCGCACGGGCCTCGCCCAGGCAGATGCACACGGCGATGCACTCAGCGTCCCGGAAAAGCCAGGCGGACAGGAGTTTAAGGACCTTGGCGAAATGTTGCCCCTGTGTTCATCCTTCTGCAACTTGGCTCCTCTGTTGACTTTTCAGTATTTGGTACAAGTAGGTCATTTAAGACAATATTAAGGCACCTGATTAGGAAAGCATTCCTAGCTGAACAGTAGAAACTTTGAACTCAGCCTCTTCTTGCTGATAACCTTCTCGTTCAATAGTTCTTTCTCAGCATTCCTTTGGCAGAGATACTGGGTAGATAGAAATCATCTTTGGGTACGTGGCAGGTGTCACAAGGCACAAGTCCACCCGGGGTCTTTCGGTACAACCGAGGCAGAGTAGAGAGCAGGAAGCAAGTCATCATGGAACTGCAGCCTCCACACTGGAGGGGCGAGAGGCCGGCTGAGAAGAGGGACAGGGCAGGTCACGCCGTGCCAGGCAGATGCATCCCTTTGACGGGAGAGAGCTGACCATAGTTGGGCACTCCGAAAGCCAAACAGGAAATCTGAGTGGCAGCGGACTCAGTAGGCGATTACTAAGCTCTGCTTGATTTGAATATCAAATATTTTTAGCTCTTAAAGTGGGATCTGGCACCTGAACCCACTGATCATACGTGAATCCCTCACGACACGATGCAGCGGCCAGTAGACAGCACCGTGTGGAAATGTCACCACGGGAAGAAAGGAACCCCCGTCTGATGAAGCCTCTAGGTTTAGCCGCAGGATGTGGGGAAGGGGAAGACACTGACACCTCGAGGAGGTGGTCAGCCCATGTTGGAACGTGGGAGACTCCACATGGCGAGGACTCGGTTTCTCTGTCTTCGCCATGGCAACAGACGTGCCGCACGATGGCGACAGTGGGGCGAGGTTAGCGAATGGAACTGCTGCGTGTGCTCACCTCACTTCTTGTTTCCTCACTCAGACCAGGAGGCAGGGCCAGGCCGGCGCTCTGTGGGGAGCTGGGCCTTTTGCTGGGGCTCCCGCCCCTCCCGGGACGAGCCCTGCGAGGCTCCGCCAGCCCAAGCCCCGAAGCTGGGACAGCTCTTCGGAGTCCCCCTCACGCAGCTCTGTCGGGACGGCGGCCTGCCCGGCACTCTGCTGGTAGGTGTCTTTGGGTGGTGCGAGCCCTTTGGGGGAGAACTCTGGGGGCCAAGTGCCCTCTTCCCAATCTGCCTCCGAATGGAGCGATCACGAGACAGCCCCTAGCTCTGGCTGGGAGGTTGGCCGATGTTACTTCAAGGAGTACGAATCGGAGTTAGGCATTGAAGGACGAGGCGAACACAGCAGGAAGGATGGTCTTTGACCGGCTTCAGAAGGACCAGGTACCCTGGCTGAGACGCGTCACAGGGGGCTCTGTGTGTGTGACGTCCCCGAGTCCAGCTGCCTCCCGGGCCCCTTCCAGCTTCTGCCTTGACCCCTCACTGGGCTCAAGTCTCCTTTAATTATATCTTCATCAGAGGCCGCTCAGTCTCACAACTAAAAATATCTCATGTGGTTTTGATTTGTGTTCCAAGGATTTAAACAAAAAGTTTCCTCCCTGGGCAGGTATGAATCTGTGAATCCTAACAGAACCTTTCAGATCGAAGCCGTAGAGTTGGGGCTGTGTTATTTCAAATGAGTGTATGCAGTTGTCAGTGGTAGCACTGGCTGAGCGTCCAGTGCCTGTCCAAGCACTGCACTGGGTGTCGGGAATTTTATGCGAGGTGTGAAAAATCGTATCATTTTGGGTCCATGCTCAATACCACCCGAGACCTGCACCTTTCACGGCCAGTAAATAGCTGTGACTGTCATCGCCACTTCACACAGGAAATAAAGCCCCAGTAAGAATGTCCTGGCTGGGCGAGCTGGCTCAGGCCTGTAATCCTAGCATTCTGGGAGGCTGAGGCGAGAGGATTGCTTGAGCTCAGGAGTTCTAGAACAGCCTGAGCAAGAGCGAGATCCCATCTCTATTTTATTGTAAATAAGAAAGGAAAAGAAAATCCTGTGCCCAAGGACATACATCAAATAAGTGGCATCATGGGTCATAAATCCCTCCAGTCCCCTGCCTGTGACTCCTGTTCTCTGTCTACACTGCAAGCAAAGGACGTGAAGACGGAGCAGAGAGGAGTGGGAGCAGGCGAGGAGAGAACGTGGTCACAGAAGCTTCCTGGTGGGGGCGGCAGGTCTTCAGCCTGATTTGCAAAGAGCCTGGGAAGTGCAGGAAGGAGGGAGGCAGGGCATGCAGTCACCTGGCGGGGAATAAGCAGGTGGGACCCAGTGTGGCAAGAAGGGTTCCCTGCTTGGGGAGGAACGCCCGCCCCTGTGAGGACACAGCCAGAAAAGGATGGTGGAGGGAGAGGGCGATTGAGCAGAGGTCTTGAAGCAGCGTCGATTCACTGAAAAGAAGCAGCTGATGAGAAATGTCTCAGTGCTTGGCTACAGAGTGGATCGATGGGTAGAAAATACAGAGATGCCAAAACACACAACAAAATCCAAAATGTGCTTCGTCCCTTCAGCCTGGGCCCTGTGCTCACGGCCTTGCACGGCGCAGCCCTGTCCTCGCGCCCTGGCTCGGGAGTGTCAAATGCCCAGCACTTTTCCTTCCTTCTTCCTTTCTTTTCCTTCCACTTTTCCTTCCTTTCTTCCCGCAGGACTTGCTTTCCTTTGTCAACCAGAAAGGGCCGCCCGTGGAGGGCATCTTCAGGATCTCGCCCAACACGAAGTCCTGCGGCGCCCTGAAGAGGAAACTGGACTCCGGAGACAGAGTGGACTGGGACAGCGAGTCTGTTTGCGTGGTGGCCTCCGTGTTAAAGGTGAGTGAAGTTCTGGCGTCAGCCACTGGCAGCGGAACTCTGACGCTGCACGGTCGGGTCTTCGTCACGGTTGCCCCAGAGCGGCGAGCGCTGCAACGGAGAACCTGAGACACTGGAAAACACATCACAGAGGCACAACGTAAGGAAATCGGTTCCCTTGATTGTTGAAAGCCCCATGTGTTCGTGTGCTTTCCTTCCTCATCACACACCCCCTCCCATCTTCACTCCCGAGCACTCATGCAAAATAATAATAATAAGTAGGAATAATAATAAATTTTAAAATACACACTCACGTATCCAGAGTGTTTACCGAATCAAGCATCCTGCATGTGATGACTTCCCACTGCCTTCTGCATGAAGGAAACATCCCCAGAAGAAAATTCCTATGAAGCGTATGAAAATGGTTCTGACAGTTACAGAAGTTTACCGTAGTCAGCAAACATTTACCTTGTTATGAGGCACAAAAAAATGCTCAGAGTGGTCACCAAAAGCTCCATTCATTCCTCATCCTGCCTCGCTCTCTTAAAGCCTTTACTTTAAAAGTGAGGTAGGAATGACCCCACCGTTCCTGCCTCTGTCACCTTCATGCCCTTTGGCGTCCTTTGTTAATATTTGCTGGGCTGAACCCCCCACCCACAGTGATAGCTACACAGCAACCAGCTCCTACCACGAGCCTCTTAGAAATCCAACTTTTAAAATGCTTAGAATTCTGAAAATCCAATATCAATTTATATGAAAATTAGATAAATTTTGAATTGACACCACTAAATCCCAAGGATCCAGGTACATCTCTACCAAGGAAAATATTAGAACAGAAAAGGAATTTAATAAATCCATTTTGATTCTTGTTAACAGCTCTGAACAAAAATATGGTAAGGTGGAGTGCATGTTTATTTCTTTTCATGAAAAAAATAGCATTTAGGATGATTTGTCACCAGGCCTTGTCACTTGGTACTGGTTTGCTAGGATGTACATCAAGAAGATCAGAGGCTGGGAGGAAACTTCATCTTCATTCCCAGCACTGCCCAGACTCTACTTTTATTCTTCTAGTTTTAGCTGCAAAACATCCAAGCATTTGCCTCTGGGTGTGCAAGTGAGCGGAGAGCTGCCGCCGGCCTCGGTGTGGGCCGCAGGGTAGCTGGTGAACAAAGTGAAATACATTTTTGAATTTTGAAAAATAAACTTTTCATTAAAATTTTTCAATTAAATTGAAGTTTCAATTAAATTCTTATTAAATTTTTCTGTAATTCCAAGGTATATTGCCATAATAATACAATTTTTTAATCTACATAAGGATTTCCTCAGAAACATCCAGGGGAGCGTGTTTTCGTCCAGCCTGTATGAGGAATGGCTCCGTGTCACTGATCAGGAGGACGAGGAGGAGAGAGTAGCTGCCATCCAGAGGTGACAATGCTGCACTCACTCTACTCACACAAACACGCCCCACGTGCTCCTGCACACGCGTGAGCTTGCATCTCACAGTCGCAGTCCCTGGAAGGACGGCCGGTGCCAAAGGGTTCCCTTTGGTCCCACGCACAGAGGCCGGTTTACAAATAGATGTATGCATTAGTATGCTTCTTGTTTCCCCCTAATGTTATTAATATGGAATCCTTGACAGTTGTGTACATTCTGAATATATGACAGAGATAGGACATGATGCCCACTGGTCCAAGGAAAATGATAACAGACCAATCTGGCAGCGGCATCATCTTAACTTTGTCAAATAGTGAACTAGCCAGCGAAGTTCATATCTGATGCAGGAATTGCATTCAGTGAAACATTTTGTGTGCAGTCATGCCTGGGATGGGTGTCTTAGCTAACAGGTAGGCACTGGTCTCTTAGCACAAGACCACATCCCTGTATGGCCACCTTAAAAAAGAGAAGTCTTTTAAGATTAATTGCTGTTTAATTTCATCACTAAACCTTTAGCTGAGCACATATTGAAATGCTACATGAGTTTTGAAGATATTTATAGGAGACGTAAATAAAGTTTGTCCAAGTGAAAACACACTGTAGTGGTTTCAGGGAAATATCTTAGGCAGTTATTTTTAAGGCAAATTTCTCCATTCTTTTGTTTTTCATTGGGTTGATAAATGGCACATGCAAAAAAGATACTCTGTTCTCTTTCTCTGTCTTTACAACTTCTTAATAAAATTACATGCTTTAAGTGTGCATTTTTCTATTTAGCCTTTTAGGCCAGCTGCCAAAAGAGAACGTTGTCCTTTTGCGACACCTTTTTGGAGTGTTGCACAATGTAGAGAAACACTCCTCCTCAAATCTCATGACGGCGTACAATCTCGCAGTCTGTGTGGCGCCCAACGTCCTGTGGCCGGCCGACCCCTGCGGCTCAGAGTCCCTGGAAGCGCTCGCCAAAAAGGTACTGGGATCTCTCGCTCATGCCCGGGACAGAGCCCCCGCTTTGAACCTGAAATTCAGGAGAGTAACTCTGACAGACTTTGGTGTTTGTTTTACAAAGTGCACACTTTAGTCACACTCCTTTGGAGCGACAGAGTCGTTTATGCTTTTCTCGGGGTGGGGGTGGCAGGGGGGGGTGGGTCAGCGGGAGATTATGAGCAGCGAGTCACTTGTTCCTTCCCATCCGGGAGACAGAGCTCTAGGTTGACTGAACCACAGAGACAAGACATGGGTGTGATGTGACAGAAAGGAATCCGGGGCTTTGGAATTCGACAACCCAAGGTTCAGCTCTGAGTCTCAGCACTGAGGGTGTGGAACCGTGGACAGAGACTCCGAGCCACGGTTCCCTCCTCTAAACAGTGTTGGTCACACCCAGCTCGTCTGGTCAGGACTGACACTGCCCAGAGGGTGACAGGAGCACCCGTGGCTCCACACGTCATTGTCCCCTGTCCGTTGTGGCTCACGGTCGACATGCAGAGCAATACGGGGCTGCTGTGTTGTCTCTGCTGCTGCAGTGAGAAAACTAGGAGAAGATTCCAGAACATCCTCGTGGAGCCGCAGTGTGCCTAGACAGGATGGCAGCTCCTCCCCAAGCTCCCCCAGAGAGCGTCCTGAAGCAAGCGGTGCCTGGGCAGGGACCCCCGCTCGACTTGAAGACGCTCCCTCTGTGGCTGCCCCCTCCTCCGCATGTGAGCACAGAGCAGCTCTGCCCCCACGCTCTTCACGTTCCACTTAAGAAGGGAACTTCCCAAGTCTGCCAGGGGCTTCTACATAGTTAGCAGAGTACTACTCCCCCACACATCCCTATGTGATGACCTGAAAAATTCCCTGCTTAGCATCATACCCAAAAGATCAAAAGCACGTGATGAAAAAGACACCTGCACTCGAATTTATAGACACAATGCACAATGCTAAACTATGAAACAACCCAGGCCCAGCAATCATGAGGATATAAAGTGGTAAGGGGAAACACCGGAAGAAGCATGGAAATATCACTGGTGATACACTCAGCTTTAAGAAACAACAGTGATATACGCTGTAGATCCTGGATAGAGCTGGAACCATCACGAAGTGAAGATCCAAGAATGAAAACAGCACACAGTACCACCAGCAAAGGAAAGGACAAACCTAAGGGACAAAGGAAGTATCGAGTAACATAACGGGCATGGGAGGGAGGAGAGAGGGAGGGCAATATAAGTAACAAACACGTACCCATAATATGCAAAATAAAAAATAAAAGAGAAATAAAATACCCGCTAACAAGTGGCCATGGTAGGAAATGTATCCTTAAGCAGACCAAAAAGAAAACGGTAGCCACTGAAAATAATGAAGACCGTGCCCGAATACTCAGCAATGTATATAGTGTTCGTGAGAAAACGAATTCAAGTATGGGTATAACAACTCAGGAGTGTTCTCAAATTACGAAGCAGTGGGAAGCTCAAATGCATGAAAGGTGATTATGAATAACCACATGGAAAAGCACCCTAAGTTGCCCTTTGTGGCAGGTTCTCTGTCAATCCTGAGTGAAAATCCTCCGATATGGAGGAGGCATCGCGTGCCTCTTGGGGAGCCAGCCATGACGGATGACAGTGAGACATACGCAGTACCTGACGAAGAACTGGCTTTGGTGACAGACAGACAGCGGGTGCCCGGGACCTTAGGAGATGCTCAGGCCGCAGCTGTCCGGAGGCTCAGGCAGGAGGCCCAAGGGCAGTGGCAGGACCCTGGACAGCGTCCATCCTTCTTGACAGCTCTGGCTCACAGGTCAGGGGAGGTTTTCCAGTATCGCGAGACCAAAGAAAGGATAAGACGAGGTTCTTGTCTTCAAAAAGTTGCTAGTGCAAGCGATACTGGCATGGAGAGACGTCATGGTGTGATCCAGTGTTTGACACTTTCTCAAACAGAACTGGAAGTGGAACCTTATATAGTTGTCATAGGTCCACCGTGGGTGCAGCTGGCGTGAGGGGCCTGCTCTGTTTCTCTCTCCTCCTCCCACTCAGCAGTCCCTCGGACCCCACAGGGTTACAGCACTATTTGAAATGGTTTGAAAAGAGCCAGCGTCCTGGAGAAAAAAGGATTCGGACAGTCTGTCCACAGTGTAGACCCTGCGCCGCCGTTTCCCAGCTGTGTTCTCTTCGGCTGACTATTCTAGCTCAGCCTGCTTCCGCATCTCTAAAATATGGTTCAACGTAATATCTCTTGTACGATTAAATAAGACAATGATGTAAAATGAATTCAAAGGGCTAGAAAAGGTTTCCGTGAAACAGGATCCCGTATTCGCTGGAGTTGGCTGGTCACAGCTCGCTGCCAGCAAGCGGTTCCGCGGGGCAGAGTTTAGACCCAGAACCTGGGGCCGTGTGTCACGAGTCCCTTCTTGTTCCTGCCATTTCTTGTTTTTATGACATTTACACCTCATTGCTTTGAGGACATCTTTAGGAAAATTCATTTTATCAGGAATCGAGATGAGTCTAATATCTGAGAATGTTTATACCCAGACGCCTTTTTGTTCTTCACCCAGCAGTGAAAGCAGAGCAACCTCTGCAAGGCTCTGAGACCTCCGAGACAGCAGGAGGCACCGTGATTCCCGAAGACGCACAAGGGCACGATGAGGCCGAGGCCCCGCCCAGCGTGGACACTCCCAGTTGCCCCTCCCCCGTTCTCCAAGTTACTGAAGATTAGAATCTTCATGATCACGTTCAACCCTCCTTTTCCTTTGTTTCCTATAGTAGCCCACTGAGAACTATTTTTCTAACATGTTTGCAGGATTTTGCTGAATTTGGATGAAATTCTTTTCTTTTTCTTATCCCATGTATCTATGTATATATGTTTTAAACCTTAATAAAATAATTTGTTATGGAAAGCCATTTTGTGATGTTCTCTGTTGGTCCATCAATGGGGAAGCATTACAAACAGGTGGTTCATAACATCATTCCATATGTGCAAATCAGGTATTTTAGAGAGAAATTTACTACTTTGTAAACAGCATCATTTCTGATTCTGGGCACAATGTGGGGTGGAGAGGGCAGAGACAACAAGTACATGTTAAATAGAAGCATTTATGTAACTTCATAAAATGCAAGTTGAATAAGTGATAAATGACTTACTGTGGAATTTTATGTCACACAAAAGTTAATCAAATACCCATTGGGCAGGCAGATAACAAAAAGTAGATGAAAAATTCTCTAAAGAGGTTACATGCAAAGTTTCTCAGGTTTTTAGCAGATCTAAGAATTACCCTATATCAATGTTTTTTAACTTAATGTGATCCCATCTATCTATTTTTGCTTTGGTTGCCTGTGCTTTTCATGTCTTGCACAAAACGTCTTGAACATTGGCCCAGGCCAATGTCCTGGAGCATTTCCCCAATGTTTTCTTCTGGTAGTTGCATAGTTTTAGGTCTTAGATTCAAGTCTTTAATCTATTCTGATGTTTATATATGGTGAGAGATGGGTGTCTAGTTTCATTCTTCTGCATATGGTTATCCAGTTTTCCCAGCACCATTTATTGACTGTCCTTTCCCCACTGTGTGTTCTCGGTGTCTTTGTGAAAAATGAGTTGGCTATAAATGTGTGGATTTATGTCTGGGTTCTCTATTCTCTTCCATTGGTGTACATGTCTCTATTTTTATTCCAGTACCATGCTGGTTTGGTTATTATATTATAGCTTTGTATATTTTGAAGTCAGGTAATATGATGCCTCCAGATTTTTTTTTTTTTTTTTTTGAGAGACAGAGAGTCTAGCTCTGTTGCCTGAGCTAGAGTGCCATGGTGTCAGCCTCACTCACAGCAACCTCAAACTCCTGGAGTCAAGCAATCCCCCTGCCTCATCCTTACAAGTAGCTGGGACTACAGGTGTATGCCACCATACCCGGCTAATTTTTTTCTATTTTTAGTTACCCAGCTAATTTTTTTTTCTATTTTTAGCAGAGATAGGGTCTCACTCTTGCTCAGTCTGGTCTCAAACCCCTGAGCTCAAGAAATCCTCTGGCCACCTCGGCCTCCCAGGGTGCCAGGATTACAGGGGTGAGCCACTGTGCCTGGCCCTCTAGCTTTCTTTTTTTTCAGGATTTCTTTGGCTATTCATGGTGTTTTGTAGTTCTACATACATTTTAGGATTACTTTTTCTATTTCTGTGAAGAATTTCATTGATATTTTGAAAAGGATGATATTGAAACTATAAATTTCTTTCATTGATATTGTCATTTTAACAATATCAATTTATGCAATCCATGAACATGGAATAGCTTTCCATTATTTTGCTGTCCGATTCTCTCGAAAGTATTTTATAGTTTTCCTTGTATAGATTTTCACATATTTGGTTAAACTGATGCCTAGGTATTTTATATTCCTTGTAACTATTATAAATGTGATTGTTTTCTTTATTTTTCAGATTGTTTACTGTTAGCATATATAAATGCTATTGATTTTTTTCTGTTCATTTTGTATCCTGAAATTTTATTGAATTTGTTTATCAGTTCTAATAGGTTTTTGGTGGAGTGTCTAAGTTTTTCTAAATATTAATATCATATCATGCGCATGTAAGGCTAACATGACTTCTTCCTTTTCAATTTGAATGTCATTTATTTCTTTCTCTTGCCTAATTGCTCTGGTGAAGACTCCCCATATATGTTAAGTAAAAGTAGTAAAGACAATCTTTGTGTTGTTCCAGATCTTATAGGAGTGGTTTTCCATTTTTTCCTTGTTCAGCGTGATGTTGGTAGTAGGTTCATCATATACGGCCTTTATTATTTTGAGGTATGTTCCTTCTATATCCAGTTTGTTGAGGGTTTTTATCATGAAGAGATGTTGAATTTTATCAGATTATTTTTCAATATCTCTTGAAATTATCACATATCTTTTGTTCTTGGTTCTGTTAATGTTACATGTTTTACATTTGTTGATTTGTGCGTGTTAAACCATGATTCATCGTTGCATCCCTGAGATGAATCCATTTGATCATGGTGAGTTAGCTTTTTAATGTGGTTGAATTGTGTTTGCTGCATTTTGTTGAGGATTTTTACACCCATGTTGTACTGTAGTTTTCTTTTCTTGTTGTGTCTTTGTCTGGCTTTGGATAATCAGGATAATTAATGCTGCCTTCATTGAATGAGTTTGGAAGTATTCCATTTTCTTCAATTTTTTTAAAGAGCTCGAGTAAAATCAATATTAATTCTTCTCTAAATGTTTGGTAGAATTCAGCAGTGAAGTCATCTGGTCTTGGGCTTTACAATATTTGATGGGAATCTTTTTATTATGGCTTTGAACACATTACTTGTTTGTTGACATTTTTTATATCTTCATCGTTCAATATGAGTATTATAGATTGCACTTGTACAAGAGTTTTTCCATTTCTTCTAGGTTTTACATTTGTTGGCACATAGCTGTTCATAAGTCTGTAATGATTCTTGGTATTTCTGTGGTCTCAGTTGTTATGTCTCCTCTTTGATTCTGATTTTATTTGTGTCTTCTTTCCTTTTTTCTTAGTGTAGCTAAAGTTTTGTCAATTTTATCTCTTCACAAAACCAACTTTTTATTTTGTCAATCTTGTGTGTTTTCTTTTTTAGTCTCACTTTCATTTATTTCTGCTCTAATCTTTATTATTTCTTTCCTTCTAATTTTGGCTTTGGTTTGTTCTTCTTTTTCTAGTTTCATGAGATGCATCATGATGTTGTTTATTTGAAGTCTTTCTACTTTTTTGATGTAGGTGTTTGTGGGTATAAGCTCCCCTCTTAGTACTGCTTTTGCTGTA